TCCATCCATCTGGCTAAACTCGCCAGTTTTCACCTGCGGGTTTTAACGGGTTGAGCCGCGGTTGGAGTTTTGAAAAGTGGTCAACTTTCGCCCGAAGCTTGTTTGTTGGTATGAATGATGCTTTATCCGTCAGCCACGTGCGCGTCTAGTTTATGTATGAGGATGATAAGAAGCAATAAACGATAAAGAACCTTTCGTGCGCGCCATTATTTTCCGGGCATTCGTAGCCGTAAAACGTTTTACTCCACGAGATACCAGCATTTCGAAAACTTCTGTCCAAAACTAACGTAGATATGATCATATCAATAATGAAACGCGTAAAATTCGGTTTGTATTCGAATATTTTTGATATTTTCTGCTTTGTTGAAGGCACTATACACACAAACGAAAAGTAAATCATGTGAGGGCGTGTGTAGGAAATTCGTGCTGCTTGTATCGGACGCATAAACAGCACCATCGGCGACGTGAAGCGGAAAAATGAATGAGAAATGATTTTCAATTTGAGTTCATAATGCGAGCTACGTGCATGCGCGCATGTGTGCGTCTAAAACGCGTGTATAAAAACATGATTGATAAAAATTGTAAGATGTAAAGCATTTCCGTTTTTACGCTCATTTTCTAGACTTTTCCACGCGTTTAAATAACATTTCGGCGAATTGTATTTCATTCAATTTTCCACGCAAATACATTTTTCAGATGAACAAAATATTCAAAAAATTTAAATTTTTCCCGATTCTAATTGCGTATACCGTTTTTCATTTACTTAGTTGCAAAATAAAAAGGAAACTTGCCTAGTAATTAATTGATTAAAATTCAATTTGTTCGCCGGGCGAATAAAATTTCGTCGGATAGTATGAGAAAAATTAAATTTGACTTAAAAACGAGTATCGGAGGAAATTCGAACCTAAAAGAAATTACAACATGCGCAGCAGCTAGGAAAAAAATGAAAAAGACCGGAAAATGAAGATCTCTTCGTTCGTATAAAGTCTAAGCCATTAGCGAAACAATCAAGCAGCGCATTCAGTAATCTTATTAGAGCGGGCGCGTCGGCGAGTGTCTTCGCCCCGGCTGGCAGAAAATTCTTAATGACATGCTAATCAGAATTCCTCCTTTGTGAAGAATGAAAATGTGGACTGAAACGTACAAAAGTACAAACTCCAAAATATTTTATAGTAAATTGTGTACCAATGGCGAAAAAACGCGACTCAAAGTGCTAAAAATTGCAATTTTTAAAATTTTGACGATTTTTTACAATTATTGCAAATATCTCGTAAACTAAATGAGATAGAAAGTAACGAATCGCAGCGTCTTAATCTACGGACAATTCTCTATAAAATAAGCTAGTTAAATTGAAAATTTAAGAGATGAAATTTTAATTCATATGAAAAAAATTGGTAAAAGGAGGGTGCTTGATAATTTTTATCGACGATTTTCGAAAATGAATATCTTCTAAACTAAAAGAGAGAGCAACTAGAAATTTATAGATTATGGAAGATTGGAACATTCTCTATCAGATGTAAATTTAAAATAATTTATATAAATGGGGTAAAAGGCCTAAAACCGCGGCTGAAAGTGCTAAAAATTGCAATTTTTCAATTTTTGACGTTTTATTTCAATTGCGAATATCTCGTAAACTAAAGGAGATAGAAAGGAGCGTTAATTAACGCACCCCAACTACATTTACCTATGTTTATGATACTTTCTCGAAAAGAATCATCACCCTAGCAAGTCCATTGTCTACTGATCTAAGACCCTGGCCGTAGCAATGGTACAACCCTAATGAAACGTGACATTAAGCAAGAGTTGTAATTTAATTAGGAAAAAAATGCACGTACGCCAGGGATACATTGTCTCCGCGAAACGCAAATTGCAAGCAGTCCGCGGCCGTAATTCGTGTGTTTAATGGGTATTAAGTTAAATGTCACGAACTGCGAAATTACCTTCTAATAGCGGCGCGAGCGAGCGAGCGAGCGGGGTGCCGACTCCCGGAGACAGTTTTATTTGTGTTTCGTAATGAGTATAAATTGTTCAACTTGCCAGAAAAGAGAGCTAATTGCACCCCCGCTACGTCTCCAGCCCGCTTGGTTAGGGAATTATCATACTCCTTCGAGGGTTTCGCAGCTCTTAGCAGCACTATTTTTATGGCCGCAAGAAACCTCGATGAAAGTCTAGTTTCCAAAATTAGTTGCTTACAGTTCACAATTGCGACGACGACAAAAGATCAACAATTAGATGTGTGGAATTTGAAGAAATTCAAATTTAAAGAGAAACTTTCCGCATTTACTTTTAATCTTAATCTTGCTAATTTAATTTAGCATCTGAATAATCCTCTTTTAACTTTTTGTGTGGCTCGCGAGTTTCGTTTTACGTTTGCTTCACTTGCAGGTGGTTTTGTGTTAATATGCATAGAATGGAAACTTTTGCGGCGCTTGGAATTTTATTAATTAATTTAAGCAAATTACCAAACTGAAACGTTTACTCAGTTACGCGGTGGAAATGATGATGTCCGAAAACAATTTGCGGTTTAATTCGGTGATAGCGCATCGATATTGTCTTCAAATAATTTATAATTAAGAGTTGTAATTATGCGCGTAATAAAAGCATACTAGGTCGGAATGTAACACCGGGTAATGGAAAGTGCATTAATTGGGTTTATTTCATATAGCAAATTTTGGGAAATGTTGTATTGGGAAACGTGTGGGCGATCGAGTGTGACAGCTCGCCGCCGCCGCCATCGGACAAGGGTTAATAACTGGGGTTTTATTGGTAATTATACGAATTACGAAAATATTACCGCCGCTCGCGTCCGTAAATAACAAAATCAATAACGCAAATGTGTTACACAATAATATTTATGTCGTAAATTATATTAGAGCCACTCTCACCCATACACACATCATATACAAGCGACCGCTGTGGCGGTGGTGGCGGCGAGCGCGAACCGGGACCGTTTGTCGGAGTGCATTAACGAATTTGTTGTTCGGGGGGATGGCTTGTAATGGCGGAACGCACAATGCGGCCGGCACGCGAAACGTCGCCCACTCGAAACAGCTGCTTCCATTATAAAAATGGATGATTTACTTATTTGTTATCGTCGAACTGGCGTGCAAGGCCAGCCGTATGTGAATATGTGTGTGTTGGCACTGAACAACGAGACTAATAATTTTCGCATCCTTCCACGACAAGAGTTACGGCGGTCTGAATTGAAAATATCCAAATAAATAAAAACAAAGTCGAGAATTTTTGCTTCTTTTCGTGTTTAGTCACACATCCCAGTTGGAAAGTGTGCGCGAAGCGCGAATTTCTCATTTCTATTCCCCGTTCTCCCGGTAACTGTATAATGTGCAACCGCTCGATATTTCAGAGCTCTAAGTAAAAGCGTTTCTGGCAGTTGTATAATTTAATAATAAATGAAAACGCTAGCAAACTCAAACCGGGACGCCTCCACCATTCTTGCCATGTGAGCGCAGAGGAATCGCGGGTGGAAATTTAAAGTTTGCACGTTTTGTGAGTGTTAGAGTATAGCCATGCTATTATTTAGACATTATTTACCAAGACAGGAAACGGTTGCTTCGCGATGAATAATCAGGAAATTAGCAAACAATATTAACGAGGAAAATGTGAGCACCTAATGCGCTGAGACGCAGAACGATGCGCCAGACATCGGAGACGCCGAACGTAATAAAAATAATCTCGTATATAACGCATTCGGAGTGTTTTCCGGAGCGGCGCGCCGGTAAGTGCCCGACGCGCGCGCTCCAAATGAAAAATAATAAAGTCCTCGTCTTATATTTACGACGGAATGACCGCCGCCGCCTACATAAACCCACAGTGGAGCAAATATTGCGAAATGTATCTCGGACCTGATTAGTTATACTTCTATAGCTAGGTAATGACTAAGAATTTTCACGCGTTGCCATCGCAACGTGGTTTCATCACTAAAATATCCGTTGGCACAAAATTAACCGGAAATAAAACACATACTAAATATTTTTTTTAAAACCATGATTGATTAGACATTTCTTCTATTCATTTCCGTTAACAAAGTGACTTCCACGGTTTCGCTGGCGTAAAAGGGTGTGAATTTTGAATTTTACGTTAGAATTCCATCTCGTGCACGCCTCGCTTATGAAATGATATTCATTATGCGCTTCTTCATCGCAGCGCGCAGTTTTCTCGGCGCTACGGTATGCGATGCGTATCCCAGCGCATCCAGACTTTCTATAAGAGGCTAATTTAAACACGGAAACGTGTAACTTGCATGCATGCAGCCAGCGCGCAGTAAAATGCGACGTAACGGCGGCGCGACGCCACCACCAACACCGCCGCCTGCGATGAGGGGGAACAATCCCCCATCTTTCCACTGCATCCCCTTATTCTTTAGCCACGCCAAATTAACTTTAACACGGGCACGAACCGGCACAGACTACGAGTTTGCTGGTTTTTAGTTTAATTCCGTGTTTTGTAATTTTGTTATATATTTGAATATTATTAAATTTTTACTAAGTTATTGTGCTCTCAAGGGGAAAAATAAAGTGAATTTTAAACCAGCGCTAGCAGAATACCTACATATTTTATCTTCAGCTGCAGAAAAAAAATCTCTTAGTGACCAAAAAGTTAAAAATAGCTTTCTCTTGTATTTGCAGTTGTTGTTTTTTTTTTTGCAAACTAAAGACGCTTCCTGGCACGGAGAAAATTTTTACGATCACAATGCGGTCTGTTCGTGCTGCTCATAAAAATAAAATCATCCACATGCCACGTATATATAGATATAGTACTTTAATTGTCCTTCGCTGGCGTATCCATAAAATGTGTAAGAAGTACGCTTTTAAGCAGCTCTAGCTTTTATTACAAGAAATTCCGCGTGTTATAAAGTGAAACAAAACTGAAAACTTTCTGCGGTCAAAGTTCCAAAAATGAACTAGTTGCTAACGATGGTATTTTGCGTTATTTTCCATCCTGAATGCTGGTGTTTCTAATTTGATATTTGTTGTTTGCAGTGCCACCAAGGATACATTACGTGTCGTCGAACGGACGCATGGAGGTGAAGAAGGGCACGTCGGTGCGGCTGGAATGCAAGGCGTCCGGCAATCCGGTGCCGAAAATCACGTGGTCGCGCAGGAATAATTTACTGCCCGGCGGCGAGCAGACGACCGTCACGCCCGTCCTCGTCCTCGACTCGGTGGACAGGCATCAGGCCGGCGTTTATCAGTGCACGGCGAGCAACGGCGTCGGCGAGGACGTCACGCAGCAGATTGTCCTGCACGTGCTATGTAAGTATAGTATGCAGCATTTCAAATTTCTATATACCCTTGCAACCACAAACACGCTTTAGAATTTCTGACCATACGGTTTAGACATAATATTTTGGAAATAATATACTAAAACTATTTTTCCATACCTTTCTGGAAATTTTAAAATTTATTATACGAATTATTTTGCAAAATAAATAAAATTGGCTGTATATTTGAAGATTTTTATTTTTGACGTGAAATAAACTTTTTATTTTCATTCTAACACGCGCCACGCCCGAGCGTGCGTTAACAAACGACCAAAGTCAACTGAAAACTTTCGAAAGTAAGTGAAGAAATCGTACAGAGGCGCCGAAAGAAAGCGAACTTGTTTACAATCCTGATTTACTTCGTCGCCTAGTTCTCGCGCGCGCACTCAAAAGAACATGTCGCTGCTCCACCTTGATGAAACAAAGGATATGTTCCAACATAAATTCGCAAAAAAACTTTTTCTTATTCAATTTACTTTGACACACCTAATAAAATAAATTCCTTAGATATTTTGATTAATAATATGCTTGAAAAGTTGGTATTTTGAGGAATGTCGATGTGAGTCGATAAAAACAAGTTAATTGTGCTTTAATATCACCGCACATCCTGCGGGTAATAATTTCACGTTGTAGTTGTTTAACCGCCGGACCAGCGCGCGTCCGTCGTGGTCGCTAGGGGTAGAATAATGGCCATTAGGAGCGCGAATTTATGGAATTCTGCTCGTATTTCCGGTGGGCATGTGTCGCGTCGGTGGGTGGAAAGGTGTGCAAAGGTGTGCGCGTGATGCATAGCCACAGAAATTCCCGTTTGATTTGCGGCCGCGTTCGAAAATTCTCCGAAGCCATTCCTTCGATCAGGCCAGTACCTACAACCTTTCACGTGATCTCCGGGACGACTTTATTAATTGCTCGCCGCGTCGTAAATAACCATCCCTTTATTGTCGATTGAAATTTAATTAGCGCGAAATGAAGAATACCGCATGGAATGCACGGAAAAACGTGAATATTGCTAAAGAAATTGCTTCGTGGGAATTTTTGCTTGGAAGAGACTTAGGGTTTCGTTAAAGCGACCGGCCGGGCTTATAGCTGCTATAGTCAGGTCGCATATTTAAGTCCTCTTTATGGAGAAAGTTGGCTAACGTCCTCGGTTAGACCTGCTTGTTAAATGTAGCCAGGCTACCTGCAAGAGTTTCCGCACACTTGAATGTGTTCGCGAGGACACCCCGCCTGCAAGACATGCATGCCGGATAAAGGCTAAGGCGGCTCCCCAAGGTGCGTTATTACTTTATTAACTGACACCCCGTGCGGGGTAGTTGCGAGTTATCTCGCGCCGCCTTCTCGCTCGTGCGATGACGCGATATTTACGGCACCAGAGTGCCACTTTGGGTGTTCGTCCTGTCCGATCCTTCATTTCGCTTCGTCATCGTTATTACTCTCCAACAAATATATTAAGATTTATGCTAATTTTATCCGACACACAACAATTAATTATGATTTTAATTTTCTTCCAAAGTGGTTTCTAAATTTGATTAATTATTATTATTAGCCACAAATCGTTGCTAACCGCTCGGAAACATTTTCATCCGAGTGATGTGTAATTGGAATTTCAATAACAAGCGATTAATAATTGCTAAAACGAATACACTGATGGCTTTATTGAACTTCGAGTAGATAAAGTTTTCCGCTTCGGCAGCTGCCGCCCGCCGCACTTATTCGAAAGTCAACTTACATTGTGCGCCGTCGTACGGAAAGTTATCCGAGATAAAATTCCTTTGGTCGTGTAAGAAATGCGCCGATTTAATAAGAAAATATATTGAACGCAGTGAGCTTTGACCAATTTCGTGCGCGCACGATGAGATGGCCCTCCCTATGAGCGCGCCAAGTACCCACAGCAGCTTGTTTTCATTTAATACTCGGTGCACGGTGCACACACATCAGCCGTCAAAGGGTTACCAGATACCAGACAGACTCTTCGAGGTCGTGGTTGGTCGTTGCTGTAACGCGGGGCGTTTGTCTTGTAAGTGCCGAGATTCCTCACAACTATTCGTCTGTGTGCATCGCGCCTGCTTACCCACCCACACACTCCACTCAGACTCATACCTCAAAGGCGACTGGCGACTCTAGTAACTGTAGGAACTAGCAACAAACTAGCGCATTCATTTCCTCGACCTCAAGACGAGAGGAGCGCAACATGTAACCTCGGCCTCCGCATCATTTCATGATCGTTATTTCTTACGACCTCTCGATAAACTCGACAACCGCTCGTCTCATCCTGTCTCGTGTCGTTTGCGGGCGCAACTTATTACGGTTTACTAAATACGAAACATCCACATCCACATCTAATCTTGTCTAGACTTCTGATGCTAGAGTAAATGGCTGAATTTAAAATCAAGCACTATAAATTGATTAAACGCACAAATCGCATAAAATATCAACTTTACCGAGTTGGTAACTGGATACGGGATTACATTACTACCAAAGTTTGTGGGGGAAAATATGAAAAATCAAACACTTTGAGCCTGCAACGACTTTAGACGGCTAATTCTTAAAGTTTTAGTTTTCTTGCATATTTGATGAGTTAATTTACGAAAACCGGCTGGCAGTAAAGTGTGTCACTTGTTGATAAAATATTCATCAAAGTTGCGCAAACGAGAGGGCTATGATTACCGCCGAGTGTACTTGCGACGCTTATTTATGGATGCCTCGCATATCTTTAGCTTTGGGGTCTTTGGTCTTCTGGGCTTTGCGCGTGTCTCAACATCCTGGCCACGCGCGATGATGCGCTGCACAAGCAGCCAAGCTAACACTTCAACGTGTATATGTTTTAATAATTTTCTTTTTCTGATTCTGGCGCATAAACTTCGTCTCCTGCAAGTTTCTTTAAATTATTTACTTTGACAGGATGAAAGAAAACACACACCTTGATGTGTTTGCTTGAGCCAGACTGTTCTGTTTTCCTTTGAGCCACTTTTCCGATCCCACAACTTAAACGTGTCGCAATGCATCGTCGTCGTGTGCATCGTGTAATTACGCTGTGCTCGTTTGTGCGCTAGCTTGCTTATTTCGATATTTTGCGCGCCGCCACATTGCATGACACTTTGCTGCGCGCCCAGCTCGTGTAGTCGTATATAATGTGAAGAATTATTACGCGCGGCGACTGGCGCGCTTAATTGCTGCTATTTGTTATATTTTGCGGCGGGCACACAGAAAGAAACACGGAGAAAATTTGCTCCGTATGATATTTACACGACCTAGATGACTTAATAATATTTTCAACTTTTAATCACTATAATCACTTATCGAAGAGTCTCTCAAACAAGACAGCTATTTCTATGCAAATTACGGATGTCTGGCTCAAAGGAGGTGTGAGATTGCCGGACGGCTAAGGGCTAAGAGGTAAATTTACAAAAGATGTTCGCGCATACACGTGCGGGTGTAACGCAACGCGCCAACAAGTCATTGCGGTTAAGGGGCTCGCGAGCGTTTTCGGCTGGTGGCGGCGGGCAGGTTAATGTTACCCAAGGTATACATAACATCTCTCGCCACTCAATCTGTTTTATGGCCGCGCCAAATTAAACCCGGCGTTTGGATGATTAACGGCCTTGGGCGCCTTTCACACGCACGGCGCAAACATGTGAATCTCTCCATTCGCCTTGCATCTTACCACCTGCTTTTACCACTATTCATGTAATCTATCTGCTAAGAAAACCAATAATTGAATGTGACATTTCTACTAAACTTCTTGAAGCATAATTTACTACATTTTAACAAAAAAAAATAAATTTTTCTTAAATATTTAAAGGAGAAAGCAATTTGTGGTCAATAATATCCCAATTTGCTTTATTAAAGTCTGTTTGTCTAGGTACCAAGTAGCTAAACTAAACTTAAGGTATTATGTTCAACGTTTTGACTGGAAAGCCATATTAATTATTAGTGTTCATTTCACCCTTGAACGTGTGTAAATTCTTAATCGACATGTGTTAATATTTCACCAACCACGACGTAGTGATTCGCTGCCACTTTGGTTCCACATTACGTTTGCATCGGTTAGTTACCACGTAACGAATCAATCGAATAATTAGTTCATTACACATTAAGTTGGCGCGTTTTGGGGCGTCGTCGTGCGCCACAGCAACCATCTACATCTCAATTATTCAGTAAGTTCATTCGATTATTTCCTTCTGAATAAGCTTACACTACAATATAATATAAATTGCAATGAAAATGGCCACAATTAGCATTAAACATTAATGCACTCTTTTCTCTGTGCTTTACAAGTGATTTTCTAGACGCGTAAAAAACTAGTTAGCCAAATGGATAAACTTTTGAAATAATCATAATAAAGACACCCCGAACTAGAAACTTACAAATGAACAATGCAACCGACGCTCGAAATAGAGGCAGCGGAGTGAGTGCTTAACGTGTATCCGCGTTGGATGATCTTGCCTCTGCATTTGTTTCGTCCGGGCCGAGAAAATTGACAATGCCGAGCAAATTGCACCGAAAAAAGCCCGAATTGCAACGCAGAAGAAAAAATCTCAAAAAATACATAGCGTAGGAAATAAGCGAGTTCATAAACATAATGAACAAAAAGTCCATCGCCAATCATACCATTTGTACACGCGCCTGGGAAAAACTTTGCTAAAAATGCGCAGACGATGAAAAGTTTTCATCCACCCTCCATTCGGGTTCATTCTAAGTGTTAAAACACACGTAACCATTTGAATTTCAGTGCGAAACTTTCGCAATCTCGCGTTAATAATAAATTATTAGGTGATTCAAAATTATAGTTAGACACAGTGTGTTGGAGTTTGAAAATCGAATTAATTCGCCGTGCGTTTTTTGCGTCTGGCGCGCGGTATCTCTCAGCTTCGGCTGACTTCATCAAAGCGTCGCAAAACGACGTTACGCTAGTCCGCCTTCACAGCGCCATAGTTTTAAACGAAAACTTAACATAATACGCCGAGACTGGCTGCGAGCTAATCCAATTCC